ACCCGCCTCGGCCTCCCAAAGTGCTGGGATTACAGGCTTGAGCCACCGCGCCCAGCCATCTTATTTTAATTTTTAAAAGACGGAGTCTCGCTTTGTCACCCAGGCTGGAGTGCAGTGGCACTATCTCGGCTCACTGCAACCTCTGCCTCCCGAATTCAAGTGATTCTCCTGCCTTAGCCTCCCAAGTAGCTGGGACTACAGGCATGTGCCACCATGCCCGGCTAATTTTTTGTGTTTTTAATAGAGATGGGGTTTCACCATGTTGGCCAGGATGGTCTTGATCTCCTGACCTCAGGTTATCCACCTGCCTCAACCTCCCAAAGTGCTGAGATTCCAGCCATGAGACGCTGCACCCAGCCATTTTATTTTTATTTATTATTTAGTTTTATTTTTAGATGGAGTCTTGCTCTGTTACCCAGGCTAGAGTGCAGTGGTCTTGGCTCACTTGCAGTGTAATTTTAGATGTGTAAAATAAGCCTCATGGAATTAGCAAAAGCTTTCCCACAGACCTTAAAGCAGAAATCTCTACACTGTGGATTTTTATTCCTTATATAAAAAGTATAAACATCTAATGAAATCTCTCCACATTCCTAATAATGCAGCATCAGTCCACTCTAAGTCACTAAATGTTGGGTGAGGTCACATTTCTGACTTTCACAGTAAAAGAAACTTTCTTTTCTTGATGTTGATTTTCACAGGGCCTGTCACCCCAGGAGGTGGAAGTGAGTATTAAGATCTGATGAGCACCTGCAGACTTCTTCACATGCCCTACATTCAGAGAATGTCTCTCCTGTGATTGCTTTTGTGTTTATACTAACACTAATGATAGCTTATGAATGAAAAAAGATCACACAAAAAATTTCATTGTATTTCAAGAAAGCTTACAAATGTGTGTTGGTGCACATTCAAAGCCATCCTGACCTGCGGGTTGGGCAAGCTTGATCTAAAGCTTTTCTCAAGTTCCTCACAGTATTAGTTTCCTAGGGTTGCTGTACAAAGGAACACAGACTGAATGATTTCACCAGGAGAAATTTATTGCCTCACAGTTGTGGAGCCTGCAAGTCCGATATCAAGGTGAAGACAGGGTTGGTTTCCTCTGGAGGCCACAATGAAAGCATCCGTTCCAGGTCTCTGTCCTTGGCCTGCAGATGGCCACCTTCCGGTGGGTTCACAGTCTTCTCCATGTGTATCCTTCCTTCACTTTCTCTCATAGGGACATCAATGATGTTAGATTAGGGATCGAACCTAACAGCCTCATTTGAAGTTACTCACCTGTTTGAAAACCTTATACCCAAATACAGTTATATTGTAAGGAACCAGGACTTAGGGCTTAAAAATGTGGAGTGGGGCGTCATCCAGACCATACCATTTAAATTGCAGAGTTTCTCTCCAATGTGAGTTCACATATGCACATTAAGGTTTGTGAGATTCAGAAAGGAATTCCCAGATTCTCTACATTCACAGGGTTTCTCTCCAGTGAGATTTCTGATGTGTTTGGTAAGGCTTGGGAATTCAGTGAAGTGGTTTCCATATTCCCTACTGATGCAGGGTCTTCTCCACTGTGAATTCATATGCGTTCATGAAGACCTGAGATACAAAGCTGCTTCCACATTTTTACATTCATAGGGTTTCTCCCAGTGAGTTTTCATGTATTCAGTGAGAACAGGGACACCTTTAGGTTTCCCCACATTCCTTACCCTGACAGTTTCTCATCTCCATGCCTTCTTTCATGATTTCGAAAGGAACTGGAAGAACTGAAGGCTTTCCCACACTCCTTACATTCATAGGGTTTCTCCCCAGTGTGAGTTCGTTCATGTAACTGAAACGAATTGGAGTAACTGAAGGATTTCCCACACTGTTTACATTCGTAGGGTTTTTCTCCAGTGTGGATTCGCATGTGAAGATTCACACATGTGGGAAACTTAAAGGCTTTGCCACATTCCATACACGTGTATGGTTTTTGCGTACTGTGGGTCCGCATGTGATTATTAAGACTAGAGGAATGCGTAAATGCCTTCCCACATTCCAGGCACTCAAAGGGTTTCTCTCCAGTGTGAATTCTCAAATGTCCACTAAGATTTGAAGAAATGGCAAAGGCTTTCCCACATTTGACACATTCAAAAGGTTTCTCTCCAGTGTGAGTTCTTACATGTTCACTCAGGCGAGAGGATCTGGCAAAGGCCTTTCCACATTCCTTGCATTCATAGGGCCTCTCTCCGCTGTGAGTTCGTGCATGCTTGGTAAGGTCTGAGTTCTGAGTGAAGGCTTTCCCACAGTCCTTACATTTATAGGGTTTTATTCCAGTGTGAATTCGAAAGTGATCACTGAGGCATGAGGAATTTCTAAAGGATTTTCCACATGTCTTACATTCAAAGGGGTCCTCTGCAGTGTGAGTTTTTAAATGTTCAGTAAGTTGAGAAGATCTAGTGAAGGCTGTTCCACATTCCTTGCATTCATAAGGCTTCTCGCCCATGTGAATTTTCATATGTTGACTTAAGCATGAGGAAACAGTGAAGGCTTTCCCACAATCCTTACATTTATAAGGCTTCTCTCCAGTGTGAGTTTTTCTGTGCTGAGTAAGCTGACAGGACCTAGTGAAGGCTTTCCCACACTCCTTACATTCATAGGGAATGTCTCCAGTGTGGGTTCCCATGTGAATATTAAGGTATGCAGAATATCTAAAGCCCTTTCCACATTCCTTACATTTGTAGGGTTTTTCTGAACTGCGAGTTTGTATATGCACAGCAAGTTCTGTGGAGTGAATAAAGCCTCTCCCACATTCCTTCCATTCATGGAGACTTTCTCCATTGTGAGTTCTTAAATGTCTCTGAAGGTGTGATTGATTAATGAAGGATTTCCCAGAGTCACTGCAATCAAAAGCTTTCTCTCCTATGCATGTTCCCTGGTAAACAACATCTGGAGTCAGGCTGAAGGCTTTTCTACACTGATTAAACACAGAACAGTGCTCTCCGGAAGAGGTTCTCTTGCGTAGGGTAAGGAAGTCTACTCCATACTGATGACACTCAAATGCGCTCTCACTATTTTGAGTTCTCACATGTGTGTTAAGGCATAAGTATTCGCTGGAGACATCTCCACACTGCTTAACATCATTGAGCTCCCCTCCATTGTGGCTTCCCATCTGTTGATAAAGGAATGAATGGTGATTAATGGACTGTTCAGACTCATTCACACATTCCACTTATCTGAAGAGAAGAACATTGTGATGATTATATTCATGTTTACCATTTTCACTACACTGACATAAGTACTGCCCTTTTGATTTCTCTCCAGGAGAATGATGAAAAGCTCCTGCCGGACTGTGCCATCTACTCTAATCTCAAATGTCTGTAGAGTTTTATGAAATTGTTTTAAAAACTCACTATCTAGTTACAAATCTGTACTTGAGGGGAACTCTAAAACACTGAGTCAAGTTGGCTAGACACGGTGGCTCACACCTGTAATCCCAGCACTTTGGGAGACCAAGGTGGGTGGATCGACTCAAGTCAAGGGTTCGAGACCAGCCTGGTCAACATGGTGAAACCCTGTCTCTAGTAAAAATACAAAAATTAGCTGGGTGTGGTGGCACATGCCTGTACTCCCAGCTACTCAGGAAAGTGAGGCAAGAGAATTGCTTGAACCCAGGAGGTGGAGGTTGCAGTGAGTCGAGATCAGCACTCCAGCCTGGGCAACACAGCAAGACTCCATCTAAGAAAAAAACAACAATAAGTGTCAAGCTAGGTTTCAAGCATCCCCAAGTCATTATATGCCAAGTCTCTCTCCAGAGTCATTATCCCTCTTGGGAATGCTACTTTTCTCAAAAAGCTCTCGTTCTGCAAATTTTCTTTTTTCTTTTAATGTAATTAAATTAAGTTTTTAGAGCCAAGATCCTGCTATGTTGACCAGGCTGGTCTCGATCTCCTGGCCTCAAGAGATCCTCCCACTTCAGCCTCCCAAAGTGCTAGGATGACAAGTGTGAGCCACCATGCCCAGCTTCATTCTGATTTTCTACAATGGAATTCCAAATCATCTTTAAATGTGAAAACTAAGACATATCTTTGTTCATCTTACCATTTGAATCCCACTAGAGGTTGGCTCCCCCAAAAAATCCTGCTGAAGGGCCAACTCTTTGGTTTTAAGTTGCACTTTCCATTCTAAAGTTAAAAGAGAAAAAGAAATGTAAGGGTTTAGAGACATATATGGTAGACAGATGGAGCTGAAAATGAGAGGGATCATTTGTATTTGTTTTCAAATTAATCATGGTAACAAAAAACAAACAAAAAGACAGATTTGAAGATTTTATATCAAAAATTTGGCAATAAGAATATAGGGTCAAAATTTTACATAGTTTACTATAAATTGATTCTATGAAAATTATAAACTGATGGTGAACACAAAGAATATTACCATGTTAGGAAAGTTGAAGAATAAGAACGTAACCACACATCAAAACAAGGAACTTGTTCTTTTTTTTTGAGACAGAGTTTCACTCTTGTCATCAGGCTGGAGTGCACTGGCACAATCTCAGTTCACTGCAACCTCTGCCTCCCGAGTTCCAGCAATTCTTCTGCCTCAGCCTCCCGAATAGCTGGGATTACAGGCGCCCGCCACCATCCCTGGCTAATTTTTGTATTTTCAGTAGAGAGGGGGTTTCAGCACGTTGGCCAGGCTGGTCTCAAGCTCCTGACCTCAGGTGATCCTCCTGCCTTGGCCTCCCAAAATTCAGGGATTACAGACGTGAACCACTGGTGAGTCACCATGCCCAGCCTTTTTTTTTCCTTTTTCAAGACAGAGTCTTACTCTCTCACCTTGGCTGGAGTTCAGTGGCATAATCTTGGCTCACTGCAACCTTTAGCCCCTGGGTTCAAGTAATTCTCCTGCTTCCGCCTCCCTAAGAGCTGGGACTACAGGAATGTGCCACCACGCCCAGCTAATATTTGTATTTTTGTAGAGATGGGGTTTTGCTATCTTGGCCAGGCTGGTCTCAAACTCATGGCTTCAAGTGATCTGCCCGCCTCAACATCCCAAAGTGCTAAGATTACAGGTGTGAGCCACCACACCTGGCCCAAAACAGGAACTTTTAAAAAAAGAAGAAACCAAAGGATCCTATCACAGGAAAGAATGAGTAGACAGAGAGTATGAGAAGCTGAAGATTTCCTAACTTCTGAGAAAAAAACGGCCTAGCTGGGCATGGTGGCTCATGCCTGTAATCCCAGCACTTTTGGAAGCCAAGGCAGGTGGAACACTTGAGGTCAAGAGTTTGTGACCAGCCTGACCAATGTGGTGAAATCCCATCTCTACTAATAATACAAAAAGTTAGCCAAGCATGGTGGCACACACCTGTAGTACCAGCTACTTGGAAGGCTGAGGCAGGAGAATCACTTAAACTCGGCAGGCTGAGGTTGCAGTGAGCCGATATCGCACCACTGTACTACAGCCTGGGTGGCAGTGAAACTATGCCTCAGAAAGATATATATATATACATATATATATATATAATATATATATATAC